AATAAATAAATAAATAAATAAATAATATAAAAAAGAAGATCTGGAAGTCTATCTTCACTTTCATCTAAATGGTTTTGCCAACTTGTGATTGAGGGTTTTTTTTAATGTATTTGGTACAGGGTCTCACTATGCAAATTGGACTCATAGTGATCCTCCTGTTTTCAGCCTTCGCAGGACTGTGATTATGTGCCTACATGCCTGGACTTGTTCACTAGGCTCAGCATGCTTCAGGGGCAGGGCCAGCACATTTCTCTCCTGTATCAGAGATTCTTGTTTTGCATGTGTTCCAAGATTCTCCCTCTAAAGATTGAAAGTGAGATATTGGTTTCCATTTGGCACTGTCTGCTGTCCTTCCATGTACAGCTTTGTTGAAGTTATTACCTAAGCACCTCCAAATATTAATACTCAAGGGAAAACATGTGGCTCAGACATATATGGTTTCCTATTTACAATAGAAAAATTAGCATTACTAATAACAGCTAGGGACTGGAGTTTGAACCATGATCCCTGCGCTTGCCAAAGCAGGCACTTAGTACACTAAACTATCTTGCTGGCCCTATGTGATTGAGTTTTCAATTTCCTATATATTTCTTTGAAGATGCTTCATGAATTCTATTTCTTTTCTATATTGCACATTTAAAGTTTCCATCATTTTTCTATTCTCTGTTTTTTATGTGTCTTCTTTAAAAGGCTTAGTAGTTTTTATATTGTAGTTATCCTTCCTTTTTTTAACCTGTGAGATTATCTCTGATCTGATTTCCTCTATACTCTTCCATAGTTGTTTCTTCACTTGGTTGCTATTATTTCAGAGATTTCAGGTGTTTGGCTTCAAATTTCTTTTATGCTGATGTCTCCTAGGTTTGTTCTGGGTAAACTCAGGGACTGAGAATGCATTTTAATCTTTCTTTTTGTCATTTTGTATTTCAGAAAGAAATCATTATTTTGATTTTTGTCTTACCTTTTGTGAAAGTTTGATAGTAAATAGCTGTATCACTGGGGTCAGACCCTCCTTGTAAAGAGTCTGCTTTTTTTGGAATCTCTCCTGTCTCAGAAATTCTTGTTTTGCATGTGTTCCAAGATTCTCCCTCTAAAGATTGAAAGTGAGATATTGGTTTCCATTTGGCACTGTCTTCTGTCCTTCCATGTACAGCTTTGTTGAAGTTATTACCTAAGCACCTCCTAATATTAATACTCAAGGGAAAACATGTGGTTAAGACATATATGGTTTCCTATTTACAGTGAAAAAATTAGCATTACTAATAACAGCTAGTAACAGTTAGAAATGGACAAATGTTTGTAATTAATGTTTGTATTTTAGACCATAGAAGCAAACATTATAGCTGTACAACCAAGCAGATCTTAAATTAGGAATCAGATTTAATTTAGTTTTCCTGAGATCTGTCAGGGCATCTTCCATTTATACACCAAGACTCTTTCAAGCAGACTAGCTCACCCCAGTTATCTGATGCCACCTCTGTTTCACAAGAATGCTCCTGTAGTTCTGGGCCTTTTTCATGGGCTTGGCTGGACCCAGCAGTATGGAATGGGCTGACTGTGCCAGCTGGCTTCTGGTCCTGAGGCTCCATCCCACTGGGTCCACCAAGTTGGAATGGGTCAACTGTGCCTGGTGCCATTGTGTTTAAATAACACATTTTCTTAATCCATCCATCTGGGTGTAAAGTTTACTGCTAATGAATTGTGTTGCTACAAACCGTGATGTGTATGTATCACCGTAATATGATGTATGAGAAACCCAAAATAAATAAGATAGATTACAGGAAGTATACAGATAAATCTTTCTCAAAGAGGGTTTCAAGAGATGAAGGAAATAAAGCAAACAACAGAAGAGGACCAAGAGACAGATAGGGAGGGAGGGAGGGAGAGTAGCAAAAGGGGAGGAAAAGGAAAATCAAGTTGTGTTGTGTACATGTACTGAATTCCCACAAGGCATATAACGTTATGAACTATTCATATGTACTAATAAAATAAAATTTAGAAAGACAAAACCCCATAACATTTATATATTTTTTCTTATAAAAAATTACTTCTTTTGCTCTTTACCATTTCATCACTATGTGGTTCCTTGTTCATATTTTCTAACTATTGGTTTGCTTAATGGGTAAATTATAATTCATGTGTGTATATGAGCACGATCTAAGGAACTGAATTGCACTTCTGCCACCTCATATGATACATCAACCAAATCAGAATTTTTATAGCTGATAAAAGGAGCATCCTCTTTTAGATATTCCAGTAACTGATTATAATTTAAAATGTCATTGCTTGTTAAATATCAGAACTAATTTAAATTTTTTTAAAACTCTGCAACAAGCATTTCACATAATGGTGAAATGATAGTTTTATTTTATTTTTTAATTCAATTTTATTTCATTTAGAAGAAATGAAGAAGCAAAAGCACATAGAAAAAAAACAGAAACAGAGTAACATGCAATACACATGTTACAGATTCATTTTAAATGTATCCTATATTTTCTAAGCTGAACAAGTCCATCCCATTCTTCTTTTGTTTCCATTACTCCCACTCAATATAGGGTACATGTTGATCACACACACATACACACACACACACACACACACACACACACACACACACACGAAAAATCTGCTGTCAATAGGAAACTTAGTCCTTTTATCCTTTCTGCAAATCACACACACAGAAGTGGTTCTTCAGAGCAAACACTCATTGGAAAAGAACCAGGGGAGACAAACCCAGAAGTGGGATCAAGGTTGGACTAGGGACAAAGCCTTATGCTGGCATTAATTCAACCACTTCAGCAGGTTCATCAGAGCCAGTAGCTGAGTTACTGGTGTTTGTTAGGTCTTCCCTAAGAGCCCTTTCCAGACTGGCAGGAAGAGATTGCATCAGGCTCTCTCGGAAGTCCCGGCCCACAAAAACATACAGTATTGGGTTGACACAGCTATTGAAGAAGGCCAAGGACATTGTTGGGTCAATTAGGACATCAAGCATTTTGTACTTAGAACTTTCTTTCACCCAGACAGTTCTGAGAAGGCCAACAAGTTGAAAGGGGAACCAACAGATGAAGAAGAAAGTCACAACAGCAGTGAGGACCCGAAACGGGCGGCTGGAATTCATCATGCCTTTTCTATGAATCTTGGCAGCAATGAGTCCATAGCAGATGGTGACCATGGACATGGGCAGGCTGAATCCAATAAGGAACCGGATGATCCCTCTAGTTGTCTTCACAGTGGTGGACAACTTCTTCTTCTCTTCAACAGTTGCACCCCAAGATGCAAAGTTGAAGTTACAGTATACGTTCCCTTTTTGATTGCTTACTGTGTTCAAGAAGATGAAAATTGGTAAACTAAGGACGAGGGTAAACATCCAGATTCCAGCAATGACTTTCTTGGACAGACCAACAGTGCGGTGTTTCTGGGCCCACACTGGATGCAAGACACAAATACAACGATCCAGAGCAATGTGACCAATTAGAAAGACACTTCCATAAAGATTTGCTTCTGCCACAATGTAAACAAACTTGCACAGAAACCATCCAAAAGGCCAAAGTCCTCTCATGGCCATGGAGACAATGAGAAAGGGCAGGGTGGCAGTGAAGGAGAAGTCAGCAAGAGCCAGGTTCAGGTAACAGATGGTGGTGACTGTGTGTGCCATGCGGAATCCAGCCACCCAGATCACCAGCCCATTGCCCAGAGCACCGATGACAAACGTAGCTGAGAGCAGCACCAATGGGAGTATCTGCAGAACAGCTTGTGCAGCAGACTCATGGAGCATGCCTTCAGATTCATATGGAGGAACTGAGATATTGGCTTCCATGCTGCCCACACCTGAAACATTTCAACACAGGCCACTTTTTAAGTGTAGTCATCTTACAGCCTCTCTGGTCACACATTATTATATCTTTCATTCCAACCAGGGCCCTGAACTTGTCAACCTTGGTGACTAGGAATTCCATAAAATTGGAGAATTTCTCGGATATTATTTTGGGAAGGGCCAGTTCCCCAAATTGTCTCAATCATTCATGTTCATCAGCATCTCACACAGTTTAATTTACCACAAATAGTATAAAATTCTACTCACCAGCAGAAATATTGAGATCCAGTCCTAGCCCAGGCCCGGTGAGTGCGTGGGAGACCTTATGGCTACCCTGCACCAGTGGGACCTGCGGGTCCCAGCCCAGGCACAGCATGGGTGAGACCTTCTTACACCCCCTTGGGCCCCCCACCACCACTCTGCAGTGCCCCCCACCCCCACCCCGCCTGCCGCGTGAGAATTTCTGCCGAATTTCCAGGGACCCCCCCCCCAGATCCAGTACTAGCCTAGGCTCGTTGAGTGTGTGGGAGTGCTTCTGGCTACCCTGAGCCTGCGGGACCTGCCCATCTCAGCCCAGGTGCAGAGTGGGTGAGACCCTCTTCCACCCCTTGGGGCCCCCCTAACACTCTGCAGCACCCCCCCAACTCTGCCTGCCCAGTGAGAATTTCTGCCTAGTTCTGGGGACCCTCAAATCCAGTCCTAGCCCAGGCCTGGTGAGTGTGTGAGAGAGCTACCTCTTCCCCCTACTCCATCTTGTCCCCTCCAGACTCAACTCAGGCCTGGCATACAGGCTTGAGGTGAAACCCTGCAGCTGCAATTCCTGCAGAGAGAGTAGGGGACAGAACCACCCAGCTAGTCCAGGAGCAGAACATCTTGGCAGAGGGGTACAACAGGTTCACTCCCAAGGGCAGCAGCAGGAAGGCACTGAGTACAGAAGCCAGAACCAAGCCAGGCACAGCTGGATAAATCCAAACTTTGTAGATCTGCACCTGAACTTCAGTAGGTGCTAAGGTTATAACTGCACCAAAGCTCTACAACAAGGGTCAGAAAACAGTGCTACACAAAATGCCAATGAGAAGGAACAAAATGCAATCCAAGAACCCAAGCCCACCCATAACAAATGCAAAGGACACTAACACAAAACAAATTTGGAATCATACAGCTGAAATCAATGAATTAACAGCTTCTGAAATAAAGAAACAGCTGCAGAAAGGTATAGAGGAACTCAGATTGGGAATGAAAAAAGAAATCCCTGAACCATCAGAAATATCGAATTGTGGATGCATAAACAGAAAAATGTGACGCAAAATCAGATTCAGATTGTGAGAAGAGCCCTGAACTTATACTGAGAAAGTTTACTTCTGTTTCTACTGAGGGCTCCATGAAAAAGGGCCAAAAGACTGCATACTTTCAGGCCCATATGTTTGTAGTCTACTTACTCTTGTCCCTCTCTATTGTGAGAGTCCTGAACCTAATGTTTCATTAGTACTTCAGTTTATGGGTTTGCTTAGAGTTTGTACGTTACAGAAGTCAAGCAATCCCTGGACTCTATGGTAATATGCTACAAGCACCTGGCTCTCTATACTTTAAACCCAGTGTATTTTATTAGGCCTACTTGATATTATCTCTGAGAAGCAAAGAATCTTATAGCTTTAATGTTCTGTATGAAAATATGAGGTTCTATTAGTGTTAGTGGGATTCTCATCAGAGACCATGCACTGGCTTAGTGCTACACATGAGGAAAGATTTACTCTATATAACTGATCTGTAGTGTTCATTGTGTCCACTTTCTATAATAAACTGCTGTTCAGAAAATATGGGAAGTGTGCCAAAGTTCACTTAGTTAGAATACACTAGACAAAGTATTTCAATCTCCTTTGTCTGGACATAGCAAATATTGAAGACTCCTTCACATTGAATCATCATAATGTGGTGAGGTACTCACTGACATTTTTCTTTTACCAGGCAGAAACCATATTCCAGGGAATTTACTGGATTTTTCAATGTCACATCCACCCATCCCACTGAGACAGCAAGATTAGAAAACCAGAAATAAACAATTCCATTGTTACTTCCATTGCTACTCTACTGGCCTGCATTTGAAAATTGGGCTCCCTCAGGACTGCTTGAGCATGATTTGTCCTGATATAATGACTTCCTTTATTAGCTTCTCAATTCCTCTTTTTCTTGTCTTACCTTGGCCCTTTCACTGAGGTCTTCTATGAGGCATTGTGTAGTATAGAAAGGTGTTAATGAACCTGGCTGGGCATTGTTGACCTCAGAGGCTGGATACATCTTTGTCATGGGAACTTCCCTGCACATTGTAGAATGGTTAGGTGCAGGTACAACTCCATCCACTAGATGCCAGTAGTAACCCCCACTTCAGCCATGAAAACCAAATGTTTTCCTTGGGAGGCACAGCAGTCTCCAGTTGAGAGTTACTGCTTTAGTATTAAGACTGCTAGGGTCTGGAGTTGGCTAATGACTATTCTAATTGCATCTCTGCCACCTCCTCAATGTGAGTTCTTGGGCCTGGTCATCTCTCTGAAATTAGATGCCATCCTCTACAGAATGGCAATGGTTTTGTGGTCCAGGCTGGTGTACAGACAAGGACTAAATGAGAACAGATGTGAAATTCTTGCATGGACCCATATGAGTTTTTAGAAAATTGAAGCTCATGCGCTCAGTAAACTCAGTTCTGAGTTAGGCATTATGAAACTTCAATGTCAGTCAAGAAAAATGCTTCTGATAGTCATGACTACTATTTACGAACATAATCCACATTGAACAGCTTCCCACACCATTTAGAATTCATCTTAATAGCTCGTGAAGATTGCCTGTGTTGATATGTGTCAAGCATTGAATGTACAATGGATGCTCTGAATGTGGAATTCTATGCTTAATATAACCATTGTAGAGATCAAGAAGTTAAGATACAGACTTATTACCTTAACTGTATGAACCTCCAATAACAAAGTAGGAAACCAAAATTTTGAGGTCAGTCAGACTGATTGCATCAGAATTGTGCTCTTAAAATCCCACTCCATATTTCCCAAATAGATTCATGTCCCCTCCCTACCATGTAAAAAACTTTCAAGACAGGTAAAAAATGAAATACTCAGCAATCTGTAAATTATTAGTTTTAAAATGCTAACCCAACATGGAGGACGCTCAGAGATGGGGAGATGCAAAGAAGGAAGTTTTGGAAAATATTAGTCCAAACTGCAAAGTGAGGAGATAGCTTGGAGCCACAGAGCTCACCTATACAGACCACAATGCCCCCCTATAATCCCAAATGACTAGCCAGTCATTCCTAGTTAGAACATCCTCACTTTGTGGTCAAACATCACCATCCTATGAAAGGAGATAAAACCAGAGAGGCTCAGATAAGGAAAGTGACTTTTCTGGTGTCAAATCGTTACAGTGCACAATTAAATTTCAGGGGCGTATATTTGAAAGGTAAAGCCAATGCTCCCTGTACATCATTGCTACTTTTAGTACATTCACTTCTCCAATTTTAAAATTTACTTTCAGCACTTCTGCTTTTCTCTGAAACTGCTCACTTCCTCTATGCCTCACACAAACACATACACACACACACACACACACACACACACACACAGATGGCTCATGTACTTGACTAATATTTCATTGAGAAAATAGTAACAATCAGATATGAACTTTTTTGCTTTCTCTCCCCAAATGCTCCAATCTACCTGTACATATTATACTGAGTGGAGAGCTTGTGTACACTCTGAAAGTTGTCCTCATAATTTCCTCTGGATCCTTATCTCACTTACATTCCAAACAACCGGGCTGGGGAGATGGCTCAGTGGTCTAAAGCACCTACTTAGAACAAGCTTAGTCAACGCACATGGACCGCGGTTCAATCCCCCAG